GTTGGAGGCTGTTGTTGAATGAAGTTCAGATTTTTGTAGTTTTCGAAGTACTATGCCATCACATGCTGCAACAATTCAGTGTTTGATTTTTTGATGTAATTTGACCTTTGGTTAGGTAGCTTTTTGTTAACCTTATGTCAGTATAGACACTTGAGTAGGGGGCTAAAATTAAGCTACTTGTAGCTTGGTAAACTACTCTTCCTCTTTCCCGAAAGCTAGTGTTTATTTTGTATAAAAGGAGAAATCAATGATCATTACTGTGTTCTGCTCATTTCTCTCTCTGTTTTTTTCTCTCCATTTTTCCTTTGAGCAAAAACGTTACATGGTATCAGAGCCTCCTCTAATCCTTGAGAGGCTGTGAGGGAGTGAAAATTGAGAGTGAGAGACACCCAAACAGAACCCAAACACCTTGAACCCTAAAAATGGAATCTGGTTCTAGTTTCATAGCAAAAACAGCATTTTTCAATGGTCATAACTACCCAATTTGGTCAGTCAAAATGAAGGCTTATCTAAGGGCTTTCAACCTTTGGAAAGTGGTGGAAACCGACCAACAGCCACCACCTTTAAGGCAGAATCCCACCTTGGCTCAGATAAAGCAGCATACTGAAGAAGTTACGAAAAGGTATAAAGCCTTGACTTGTATTCATTTTGCAGTAACTGATGAGATTTTCGACAGAATTATGCGTTGTGAAACAGCCAAAGAAGCCTGGGACTTGTTGAAGGTAGAGTTTCAAGGTGACAGCAAGGGAATTCAGATGCAAGTTTTGAATCTGAAAAGGGAATTTGCTATTTTGAGGATGAATGAGTCTGAAACTGTTAAAGAGTTTTCAGATAAAATAATGAAGATTGTGAATCGAATCAGATTGCTGGGTGATGAAGAACTCTCTGATAAGAGGGTTGTTGAGAAGGTGTTGGTCAGTTTGCCAGAAAAATTTGAGCACAAGATTTCCTCTTTGGAAGACTCCAAGGATCTTTCCAAAATTCCTTTAACTGAACTTATCAACTCTTTACAAGCTGTTGAACAGAGAAAAGCCTTAAGGTCCCAAAGCAATGTGGAAGGTGCTCTCTTGGCTACCGAAAAGGGTAAAAGC